CATAGTCAGCTATAAAAGAGGGACGAAAGATACCAGAGGGAGAGTCCCCGAAATGACAGCTGTTTAACAATTTAATTCAAACGAGTGAAAATAACGGTTTTAATAATGTACAAACAAAGACCGAAACACGAATATGTAACACAGCAACAAACGACAACCACTGAATTACAGACTCCTGACCGCTATATGATAATAACGACAACCTTATAGTTTAACTTTTCACTTTTTGAAGCGATAGGAATTTCAAAATGGTCGCCAGTAAAGGCAAAGTTTGTATCGTAAACAAATTCATCTTTTTTTTTTAGAATATTGAACACTTTATGCAATCAAGCTTAATTAAAGTTATTCACTAGACCTCAGACTTGCACATACTAGAACTTTATTTATAATCAAGTCAAATGAGACCCAGTTGAATAGGGGAGCAATTCAAGCTCCCTGGAGCCTCTAATTATGTTTGGCATTGTAGGTTCTGAATAAGATGAATTTTAAGCTTTTCCCAATAAAGACTATGTTAAACTTTGGACTCATAGTGCTCAGACCCACGGATCTCTGTACCTTCATTTGTACACACTTGAATCTTAATGTACTACTGAGGCTTGATGCAAATTATAACTGCATTGCTATTGTTGGTTCTTAATGAGATTCTTCAAGCGTCCTCCCCATTGAAGCCCTATTAAAACTTTGTACCCCAAGTTTTTTTAACCACTATTCCCCAGGACAACTATTCCTACAAACTTAGAGGGAGGGTTGGGATCCCGCTAACATGTTTAACCCCGCCACATTCTTAATGTATGTGTTTGTCCCAAGTCTTTAATTTACATATTTGTTTTTCGTTAATTTTTGTACATAAAATAGGCCGCTTGTTTTTCTCGTTTGAATTGTATTACATTTGTCATTTCGGGGCCTTTTATAGCTGACTATGCGGTATGGGCTGTGATCATTGTTGAACGCCGTACGGTGACCTATAATTGTTAATTTCTGTGTCATTTGGTTTCTTGTGGAGAGTGGCGTTTTTGAACAAACCAGCGTATCCCAAAGCCTTGATAACCTCTGTAGGCCCCAAATAAGACGAAAAAACATCAACATTGGAGAGAAAACTGAAAATAAATGGTTTCTAACCTCAGGGATATTAACCCTTGGCATGCTGAATTGTTATCAGAAATTGTCTAAATTTCGAGTATTTGTAAAAATATGCAAATGATATGCAAATGAGCTGTACCCTGATGCTGATGCATACTGATTGCATTAAATCTAAGATAGCCAAGGGTTAATATCCCTGAGGTTAGAAACCGTTTTTTTTCAGTTTTCTCTCCAATTTTGATGTTTTTTTGGTCTTTTGGGGCCTATAGAGGTTATTAAGGCCTTGGGATACGCTGGTTTGTTCAAAAACGCAACTCTCAACAAGAAACCAAATGACACAGAAATTTACAATTAAAGTCACCGTACGGCCTTCAACAATGATCACAGCCCATACCGCATAGTCAGCTATAAAAGGCCCCGAAATGACAAATGTAATACAATTCAAACGAGAAAAACTAGCGGCCTATTTTATGTACAAAAAGAAACGAAAAACAAATATGTAAATTAAAGACTTGGGACATACACATACATAAAGAATGTGGCGGGGTTAAACATGTTAGCGGCATCCTAACCCTCCCCTTAAGTTTGTAGGAATAGTTGCCCTGGGGAACAGTGGTTAAAAGAACTTGGGGTACAAAGTTTTAATAGGGCTTCAATGGGGAGGACGCTTGAAGAATCTCATTAAGAACCAACAATAGCAATGCAGTGATTATTTGCATCAAGCCTCAGTAGTTACTGTACATTAAGATTCAAGTGTGTACAAATGAAGGTACAGAGATCCGTGGGTCTGAGCACTATGAGTCCAAAGTTTAACATAGTCTTTATTGGGAAAAGCTTAAAATTCATCTTATTCAGAACCTGCAATGGAAATGCAGGACTTCATAATTTACACAAATCTGTACATGCCAAACATAATTAGAGGCTCCAAGGAGCTTGAATTGCTCCCCTATTCAACTGGGTCTCATTTGACTTGATTATAAATAAAGTTCTAGTATGTGCAAGTCTGAGGTGCAAGTGAATAACTTTAATTAAGCTTGATTGCATATAGTGTTCATTATTCTAAAAAAAAAAAGATGAATTTGTTTCCGCTACAAACTTTGCCTTTACTGACAACCATTTTGAAATGCCTATCGCATCAAAAAGTGAAAAGTTAAACTATAAGGTTGCCGTTATTATCACATAGCGGTCAGGAGTCTGTAATTCAGTGGTTGTCATTTGTTACTGTGATACATATTCGTTTTTCGGTCTTTGTTTGTACATTATTAAAACCGTTATTTTCACTCGTTTGAATTAAATTATTAAACAGCTGTCATGTCGGGGACTCCCCCTCTGGTATCTTTCGTCCCTCTTTTATAGCTGACTATGTGGGGGCTTTTCTCATTATTGAAGGCATTATGATGACCTATAGTTGTTAATTTCTGTGTCATTAAGTCTCTTGGCAATCATAATACATATTCTTATATATATATAGCGATGCGTTATTACGACATAGCTATGTCGTAATTACGACATAGTGATGTCGTAATAACGACATGTTATGTCGAAATTACGACATAGCGATGTCGTTATAACGACATGTTATGTCGAAATTACGACATGCTATGTCGTAATTACGACATAATTTATTTTTTTTGAATGGCCCTTATCGGCTTCCGTAGGATACTTACTGTTTAGTATATAGTCTTCTCAAGTTTCTCTGTTACCTCTCTACAATGCTTTATGAAAGGTGATCTATCATGTGGTTTGGAGAGAAAACGAAGAAACCGAAGAAACCGAAGAAGGCCAGTGGCCGAAACGTCTTTAAAATGGTTATGTTTAAATTCTACTATATTTTCCACCTATTTGAATTATGTGAAAATGATGATTTAACATAAGAGGTCGGATAAAAAGGGTCTAATAATACACAATGAAAATATTTTAATAACCATTTAATGCATTATTCAATAAAAGTACTAGAGCTATTCACAGGATTTTTATATACACAAAATATTTAAAATGAAGTGCAATATACAATTAATTTAAATACAAAAGCTGATTAAATTTAACCTATTTGAGACAAACCAAAGCACCTAACAACAAATACTGACAAAGTTAAGTTTATACAATGATTAAACACTCTTTACTTACTTAATCCATGACAGGCCACTCAGTAATTCCCACAAAACTACCCTCGTAAGCGATGGAAAGAAATTATTTGTCTAAAACGATCTGTCGATTAAAAACTTTATTATCCTGCATTGACTATTCATGAAAGATAAATATTTGACCTGTAGAAGATAATTAGTTGTCTGAACTGTCTGTTGATAAAAAAGTATAATGAGTAGAAAACTGTCTGTTGATAGAAGATAAATATTTGTTTATATAGTGTATGCGTTTGGAAGACATGCAATTCTCTTTGGTGTCTGTTGATAATTATTGGTCCTGTACAGTCTGTTGATGGCGGAAAAGTAACTAGAGGCATTAAAGAGCTTGTGTTGCTCACATAGTTCTATGTGCATCTTCAACAATGGATATTCTCTAACATTGTAAACTAGGATAGAACTCAAGACTAAAATCTCTTTTTTGTTGATCTTGTATTGCTGATCTTTTTTTCTGTTTACAGTTTCTCTCTATCTTATTTAGTTTTTGCCTAAAACACATAAAAGAGTAAAAATAATCATCATTTCAGGGCAATCACTCAATAAAGATTCTACATATAATTTCTGCAAAAGTTGACTTATTTGTAATTCTTGACTTGGTGATCATTTTTTCTATCTAAAGTGTCTATCTATCTTTTATAGTAAAATGCAAATGTTGAAATTAGAATAGCAATACTTTAACATGTTAGTTATGCAAAATATCCAATCAATTAAACCATGATTGTAGGTATAGGGCCAAACAATCTCCATGGAAATGAGATGTGCCAATGATAATACAACTGCATACCAAATATCATTGACATACCATTAGTGGTTCCCCATAAAATGACCTAATCACAAACTAATACATGTAAACTAAGCAAAAGTTTCAAAGTCAATAGACCATGACTGAAGGGGCTCCATGGAAATGAGATGTGCCAATGCTAATACAACTGCATACCAAATATCATTGACCTACTACTAGTGGTCCCAATAAACTGACCTAATCACAAACTAATACATGTAAACTAAGCAAAAGTTTCAAAGTCAATAGACCATGACCGAGGGGGCAGGGCCATATAATCTCTATGGAAATGAGATGTGCTAATGCTAATACAACTGCACACCAAATATCATTGATTTTTTACTAGTGGTTCTCAAAAAACTGATCTAATCACAAATTAATATATTGTTGATGCCGTCGCCGGAAACAGCATACCTATGTCTTGCTTTTTAACTCTGTCAATGCGAGACAAAAATTGGTAAAGCTAGTCATTTAAGGGCAATAACTACTTTAAGAAGCTGTCAGAAAGTTTTGACATACACGTGAACTTTACAAAAAAAAAATTGGTATTTTCATGATTTTGATTAAATTTGAAAATTTAGATGTTATTTGAATTACGTTATTTTAAAAATTCATGTGAACGTCACATAAAAAGAATTCATGTGATTTTCATGTGACTTTCACATGAGATTCACATGAAACTGACATGAACTGATTTCACGTGAGTTTCACTTATAAGCTCGTTTGAGGTGAAATTCACATGAAATTTGTATGTGTGAAAAGAATAACCAGTGAAATGATGTGTCTACCAGCCTACAAAACGTCTATACAAAATAAAACATAAATTGACCAGATAAGTTCTATTTTCTCAGCATTAGGTTAATCTTCTGAACAACTGGATCCAGAACAGTTTTTTTTTACTTGGTATTGTAAATCAACATAAGTTTCTGGTCAATCCATTCAAGTGATATAAAATATTTCAAACAGGCATTAAATTCAAATGTATGTAAAAGGCAATCTAAAAATATACAAAAATATATTTATTGCATAAATAAGTAGTTTCATTCCAACACAATATATATAATACTTTATAAGAATAAGTACACTTTAATATAATACTTTTAAGTAGAGAGTTATTACAATTTATTGTCCTGTGATTGTTCTTTATGAGAATGACTATTTCTACAATTCATTATTACATGTTTAGCATCTTCAACGTTGGTTTGTAACAAACTGTAATAGTACACAGCTATATTTTGTAAACACTCATCACTATCAGAATAACAAATTTCAAATATTTTACCAAGCATGTGCTGACAAATGCCTGGATAATAGAAAAACATTTTCATACAACAATGTAAAAGATGAACTTTGACCTCAGTTGAAGAGTTTTCAGCATCTTCTATGAAATCTTCAAGAACGTAAGGAGCATCTTCATAAATATTACCATAGTTACCAAGAAGAGTTAACATTGCACACCTACCACTATCATCTTTTATAAATTGTAAACTATTACACAACATGGATAAAAACTCTGCACAATTATCTGATTTTGATAGATCTATTTTTTGTAGCACACGAAGACAATTTGTTATCACATGACTGACATTTGATTTGAGAAGTTGTGTGAAAATAGTGCAACATTTCTCTGAAGTGTCTGGGTGTGATTGTTGTGTAATAGCTATTATTTGTAATGCACTGAGTGATACAGCTTCGTTAGAATCGGTAGAATGGAGTTGCATTTCATCTAAAATATCTGAAACATTTCCCTCGTTCAAAATATTTCTCATGAAATCAATCTTCTTTACTTTCAGGTATGCAGGGTCTTTTTGTTTACATCTAAACATTTTAAAATGTTTGTTTAAAATCTGACCTGATTCATTCATATACTTTTCAAAGAATTCTATTACACAGAAAACAACTTCTGGATTTCCTGATTTAACAACATTTACAATATTATCGAAACACCTTTTAATTACTTCTGTTTTCAAAGATGGAAACTCCTTCAAAAAATGTAAAAATAGTTGGAAACAATGTACTGCTATACTGTTGTTATTATGAGTCAAATATGGGTCTAATATATTTAATATGTCAAACATTTCATCCTCTGCTTTTGGTTGATACTTTTGTAAAATTTGAAAACAGTATAAGACCCCCCATGGCGTCAATGTTTCTATCTTCCCAAAAATAAAATGAGCAATGCTTTTATTAAGTACTATTCCACCTTCCTTGGTTAGAATTTCTTCCAGAACGACAATGGAATTTACCATGACAACAGGGTCAAGGTCACGTATACACCTGTACAACTGATCCACTATACCATGTTCCTGACAGACTCCTTTTGATCTGAGATTTAACTGTCCACATCCTAGCACAGCTGTTCGTCTTACGTAGGCACTGCTATCTTTTAGACCTTTCACAGCACTTCTTATTCCATATTCTAGAAAAGTTTCATGGTTAAATGTACATATGGTTTTGATGGCTAGGCCACGGACCATGGGGTTGCTGTCTGAACATTCCTGTAATAAAGTATTCGTAGCCAATAGAATCACATCTGGATCACTAAAGGAGTATGTGGTCAGAATGTTATAAAGAGCTTTCTTGACAACCAAATCTTGGTTGGCTAGAAGCTTGACAATCTTTGGTAATGCTTCTCTAATATCAAAACCTTTTGCATGAAGTGACATCACCTGGAAAGATTAATACATAGAATCTAATAATCAAGTTTAGCAAATCATCAATTTCATTAAAGTCAGATTTAAATCAGCTACTTTTAGATCAGTATTTTGTGAATCCTAATCTGTGAAATTACAGGTGTTATTACTTATATATGTTCTGGACCATATGAGTATTTGGACCATACGCATATGGTCCGGGTAATTAACATGATGAACATTGAAAAGGTGTCATATAAATCAAGAGTTTCTAAAAATTGAAATCTTGACTTGTTCAATCACATTGTTACATGATTAATTTAACAAGGACCACAACTCTGCACAAAATCATCAGACCGGAACATAATTCGAACTTGATCTGTAACTTGTCATCATAAAACTATATACCAAATTTCAAATTAATACCTCCAAGCACGAAGAAAAAAAGTGTGGAAAACTGATTTGCCAGACTGATGGATGGACAGACAGACAGACAGACAGACAGACAGACAGACAGACAGACAGACAGACAGACAGTTGACAGACAGACAGACAGACAGACAGATGAAGACGGACGGACAGACCAGACGGACAGATAGTAGGGGACTAATAAAGTGAATATTACTTACAAGTGAGAATTATGGGGAAATAACTTTTACATGGTCATTATTGATTTGTCCTTACAAAACGCAATATGTCGACTTTGGAAAACAAATTCATGAAATATCTAAATGAAATGAAATAATTCAATTACTTAACTCACAGGAACTTTGATCATTGAACCCTATTTCTTTTAAAAAAAATTATTCTGATGTTTAAATTTGCTTGTATTAAATTAAAATTTCTTAAATATTTCTTATTTGTTTTTAGTCATTTAATGTGTTTTTGTTTCTATTCATGCGATCTTACAATGACAGTAAGATCGTATTAATAAGAACAAGTGCACACCAATTCAATGAAAATAAACAGAAATAAAAAGATATTTTGTGAATTAAAAGAATAATTTAAACATAAGAAAAGAGAAAAAAAAGTCCATGCCCCAAATGCATGCGGTTTCAATTACCGACAAATATCGCCAATATAATGACGATTGAGACTGACTCTAACGAATGCAAGATAACAGATACACCAAGATTCATACAATGTGTAAAAGATAAAGGACTTCAGATAGTAACTTGTGCTGTATTTGGTCTAGAGAATGAGCTGTGAGTTCCTGCAAAGAAAGTAAGAATTATTCGAAAAATATCTACATGGTCTACTCATATGGTCCAGCCTGTTAATTGCTAAACAAGTATAATACTCTTATGGTCCGGCCTGTTTATTACCAAACGAGTATAATACTCATGTGGTCCAACCATATGTCAGATTATATGCATATGGTCATGACCATACATGTATGGTCCAAATACTCATATATATCAAGAGTTTTAACTATTATACATAAAAACAAGCATGGTTTAATAACTAATAAAAAATCCATTATAAAATACTATGGGTCCATCACTATTTTTGTTTTTTTCTTACATGTAAATGGGTCTGAATTGAAAATAGTGAATGTGACAGGAGCCTGAAAAACCAGAGGATCCCGAAATGTTTTTAAAACAGAAAGTAGAACAGAGCATTAACATTCCTTTAACCACAGGGAACTGTGGTGATCCCTGAGTGAATAATCCAAATTTACCTTCGATAAAATAGTCCTGATATAAAGTATATCACTTGGATTGTTTAACTCTTTTAAGGTCTTCAACACTGCAGATGCATCTCCAATGTCAGCCATTTGTAAATCTTTTTACCATGCTAAACCCATCTCTAGACACATCTCTTACACCTACAAAATAAAGGGATATTAATAAAATATTTGTGTGTTTTCTCACTGTTTTTTCATACAAGGCAGCATAGTTATATTTGACTACCAGAATTAAAGACAGATAGTTTATTCTCATAAACATATGCAAGAACAAAGTTATATTCGGCTTTGAGCGTTCTCGATGAAGGTAAATCCAGAAAAGTGCTTCAGACGAATGAAATTTATATGTGTTGTTTTCAATTTTACAGATGTTTATTAAATGAATATGAACTATGGATAAAGGGAAATAACTCTAACTTATTTGAGTAGTACCAACAAATCTTGGAACATCTTTCTTGAAAATGTTTTTTCACTCAGTTAAAAAATTAAAAAACTGGAAATAATATCCGTTTTCAATGTACATGATGTTAAGGTACGTAAAGATAAAGTTTCAATTGGATCTTTAAGAATTATTCAAATTTTCATTGTGAAAAGTACTCTAAGAGGTCTACAATAATGTACAATCTAGGCAATATTTATTAACACATAGATATAAGAAGATGTGGTATGAGTGCCAATGAGACAACTCTCCATCCAAGTCAAAATTTATAAAAGTAAACCATTATAGGTCAAAGTAGATATATAATGGTTATGTGTCCAAAACAAACAATAAAACAAATTTGACAATGAATAATCATAATGACAGCTGACCATGCGAGGGCTGTATAGCCAGTCAAGGTCATTAAAAACTCCCATCATCATAATCATAATGACAGCCGACCATGCGAGGGCTGTATTGCCAGTCAAGGTCATCAAAAACTCCCATCATCATAATCATAATGACAGCCGACCATGCGAGGGCTGTATAGCCAGTCAAGGTCATTAAAAACTCCCATCATCATAATCATAATGACAGCCGACCATGCGAGGGCTGTATAGCCAGTCAAGGTCGTTAAAAACTCCCATCATCATAATCATAATGACAGCCGACCATGCGAGGACTGTATAGCCAGTCAAGGTCGCTAAAAACTCCCATCATCATAATCATAATGACAGCCGACCATGCGAGGGCTGTATAGCCAGTCAAGGTCATTAAAAACTCCCATCATCATAATCATAATGACAGCCGACCATGCGAGGGCTGTATAGCCAGTCAAGGTCGTTAAAAACTCCCATCATCATAATCATAATGACAGCCGACCATGCTAGGCTGTATAGCCAGTCAAGGTTGTTAAAAACTCCCATAATCATAATCATAATGACAGCCGACCATGCGAGGGCTGTATAGCCAGTCAAGGTCGTTAAAAACTCCCATCATCATAATCATAATGACAGCCGACCATGCGAGGGCTGTATAGCCAGTCAAGGTCGTTAAAAACTCCCATCATCATAATCATAATGACAGCCGACCATGCGAGGGCTGTATAGCCAGTCAAGGTCGTTAAAAACTCCCATCATCATAATCATAATGACAGCCGACCATGCGAGGGCTGTATAGCCAGTCAAGGTCGTTAAAAACTCCCATCATCATAATCATAATGACAGCCGACCATGCGAGGGCTGTATAGCCAGTCAAGGTCATTAAAAACTCCCATCATCATAATCATAATGACAGCCGACCATGCGAGGGCTGTATAGCCAGTCAAGGTCGTTAAAAACTCCCATCATCATAATCATAATGACAGCCGACCATGCGAGGGCTGTACAGCCAGTCAAGGTCATTAAAAACTCCCATCATCATAATGATAGAATGTGGCTTTCATTGTAAAAAAATTTAGCAAATAAAAATCAATACATTTTAAATTTAAACAGATTTTCTTTATAAAGACATTAATTTATAACCATTGCAATGATTCTAAAATTAACTAGCAGACCACTACTCAATTTATGGGTACATGTAACTGTTCATGCAATTAAGCATGAAATTTGTATACAAATTTGTTCAAGAAAGCTTTGGACAGACTGTGAATAAATGGTATTTATCCTCAATTTCTTCCCCTGTTGCAAGACTGGCAAATATATGTTGCTTTATTTCAATTTTGAATACCACCTTTCAAATAACATGCAGTGGGCACTGACTTGCAATTTAATTTTTAGCTGTAGAACAGTACAAAAGAACATGCAGCTCCTACATGGTATCTAGGTGTCAGACCACCAATTCAAAATCCCTATCTATTCAACAAATTTTCTCAATTTCCACAGATTCCTTAATATTTTACCTTAAACATGTTAAGTTTAACTTCACAAACCAAGGTAAATCCTGAATTATACATGCATCACCTTTCTACATGCCAATTTTCAACCAATGTATAAAGTCTTGTAGTGAAAAGCCACTGTTCGGAAGGCAACTGCTACTAAAAATAACCCCTGGTTTTCTGGATATCTTAAATAAGTATACTATGGACATGCATAATGGAGCTCATTAGTCCTCAATTTTTCATGCAAACTCATGGACAATTATATTTTAGCTCAAAATGGTCTAAATATATTTCTCTTTCACCAAAAGCTTTATTTCTACAAATTTGTTGGTTAGTTTAAGTAAACAATGACATCAAAGGCACTATTTTTTGTCAGGGAAGGGCTATTTTAACATACATTCTATTTTTGGAGTAGGTGAATTGGTGGTCTGACATCTCCATGATGAGTTTATGGTACCTGTGATATATTTACATGTAGTACTATGCGAATAATCAGCACAGAACAGCAACTAATTCAAATGCTGAATTATTTTACTTTGGTCATATGGCATTAATTGACATCAGCTTTATTTTGGATGAATATCAAGGAGATATATATCATGTATATAATAAATACTTCAGTAGATAAAGAAAAGATTATTCCAGTTTTGGATCGAAATTTGTGCATTATGTTAAATCTTCTATTCAAAGATGGGTTATCAAACTGTTTAAATATTGACACTTACCATATTTATATCTATTACAAAAAGGGTTAAGCTTGGTAGAGGCATTTCGAGTGGCATATTTTTGAATTCATTGAAAATCAATCAAAGAGCCTGATTAAATTCCTATGGGATATGAAATCCAATGCTAAGAAATACTATATAATGAATATAAAACAAAAGTCAAGCCATTTCTACCAACTGGTCAATTATATTTTGAAACAAGTAAAAACAAACCCATTCTTGGGACTTAACATCTCAGAAGATCTAAATGGAACAGTTACATGTACATCAACAAAATCAACAAAATAAAATTGAGAATGGAAATGGGGAATATGTCAAAGAGACAACAACCCGAACAAAGAGCAGACAACAGCCGAAGGCCACCAATGGGTCTTCAATGCAGCGAGAAAATCCCACACCCGGAGGTGGTCCTCAGCTGGCCCCTAACTAAAATTGTGTGCTAGTTCAGTGAAAATGGACGTCACACTAAACTCCAAAACATATAAGAGGGTGGTAATGGGGGTACCTTCATGACGAATAACTGTAAAAAATCTTGCCAAATGACGTTAACGGTAATTTTTGGTGCATGACAATAAAACGAAAACTTTCTTCAAGACGATAAAAAAATCGACAGATTTTGACGAATCACGTTAATTTTTTTCCAAAAATAACGATAACGATAATTATTTGAGACCTCTGACGAATCACGATAAGGATATGTTGACGAATCACGGTAAAATTTTAACCAATTTGACGCTAACGGTAGCCGAAAATGACCATTTGACGCCTGACGGTAAAGGGCATTCATACACTCATATAAATGAACTAAAATTTAAAAAAAAACATACTAGACCAACAAAGGCCAGAGGCTCCTGACTTGGGACAGGCGCAAAAATGTGGAGGGTTAAACATGTTTTGTGAGATATCAACCCTCCCCTATACCTCTAATAACCAATAAAGCAAGGTGAACCCTAGGTTTCATCAGAAGAAACATGGGCAAATGCCCCCAAGAGTGAAAAAAACTAGCATATATATCTGGGCACAGATGCGCAATTTATTTCAGGTAGGCAGTAATGGTAGCCTTTTCCTCAATTCCTCTGCTCATATCGTAAACTTGGATATGAATGATGACTCGTTTCGAAGCGGAGACATTTTCACATATGTGGTAAAATTTTCGGGTTACGAACTGAGATTAATTTTTCTGTAAATTAGCACACCCCGAAAACAATGGAAAATCCTTACGTGATGCTGCTCCTCGAGGTAAAACTACCCTTTTTTCACACAATAATATCATTGAAAATTTAGTTCTTTCCATACAATTAATAACTCCATAGTTTTCATACATTTATTCTATGGTCCTCTGCTCTCCAAATCTGCACAAATGGTTAAGCTCAGTCACTTGTTAAAAATAGAAACATGTCCAATATCACTACACAGACATTTTTTGTTTACACACAACTTTTGAGTTCTCAATTTGAGACGCATTAGGGATATTGACCCATCTATGGTTAGATCAGTCATGGAATACAGAGCTGAAATCTTGGATCTGTATACTTCTTAAGATATCGAAAAAATAGCAGGAATTCAAAAACGTGCTGCCAGATTTATCAAACAAGACTACAGATCTCGAGAAGCAGGATGCATCACAAACATGCTATTAGAACTTAAACTGCCACCTCTACCATGTCTACAAGACCGCAGGAAGCAACAATGCCTGGTCATGTTTTACAAAGTAGTTGAGGAACTGGTGCTGGCCATACAACAAAGCGATTACGTAAAACCAGCTAGGAGCAATAAGAGACTGATCAAAACAAAAACATTTGGAGACTACATAACATGCATAAGCTCAAACATAGTGGAAAGACTAGAAACAAAAACCCCAAAGGCTTATTGAACTATCCAGTGCAACACAGAAACAAAGAAGTGCTCATTCTTTGCAAGACCTGTAATTGATAATGGAACCACCTGGAAGATACCGCTACATGCCTAAAGACAGCAGAGGGCTTTGGAGACGCCATCCAACAGTTGGACTAGGTCCTGCTGCTTTCCTTTCAGGGTGAAAAAAAAGGAACGGTTCCTGCACTGTGTAAAAATACAGATACAGGCCTGACTGGAGTGACTGCATCACAGCAATGACCCCATGATCACCTGCTTGCATAGTCAAAATAATTATGACATCTCAAACAGTTAAAAGGCTATTTTAATTTTTTGCTGCAACGCCTTTGCAGGAAGAAAAGCCTTTAAAGAAGTCATTATTATTTGAACTACAGCTTGAACAGCTTTTATCAGTTTTAGTTTATAGTATCAGTTAATATAATAATAAAACAAGTTTTTCTTCCAATAGTTTCAGCTGTTGAGTCAGTCAGTGGGGCGTGCAGACTTGCTAAGAATCTCTTAGAGTTGGAAGTTTGTCAAATTTTCTTTTGTTCATAATCCTTTTCCTTTTTCAAACTTATACCTGCCCTGTTCACTAGTAAATTACTAAAATTTGATGACCATAGTCTATGAATATATTGTCCTGATTCCATATGAATCGGTCAGAGGAGTTCCGGGAGGCTGTATTCCGAAAGACGCCGTCTGCACTTCCGGTCTGGGAAAACGTTGTGCAAGCAAAAAAAGACAACTGAATCTACCAGACTTCTGTCTTCTGTAAAGGTAACACTGTTTAACACTAAAAAGAGTTACAACTATCATTGTTACCGCTCTTCACGGACAGTTAAATGTAATGGGACACGATTTAAAAAAAAAGATAATAGCCTGGACAGAACATCAAAATGGTCTTTATCCACAGGTACTTGTTTCTATCAAAAGGAAGTTCGACTATCAGCGTATAAACTATAATAGAAGAAGGTGTATTACGAATGTCATGACCGTCTCCGCTTTGGACGTTTTCTTTTAAAACTCAAGACAAGTTAGAGCTCAAGACAATTAATATAGACACCTCATACGGCTCACTCCTCAGTATGTATTACGGTTATTTTATATACATGTACCCCACATCTTTTATTTATCCAGGGATCACCTTGACCTATTGTAGCATGGGGCACAGCCACACTTATTTCGCTCCGCCACCTTAGACTTTATTGCTCCTCACTTAATTTGTTGTCCGCCAGCTTCAAAAATAGATTGTACTTAATTAAATACCAGATACCTCTAATGCAATTATAAGAGTGTATGACAAGTTTACGACCCCAAGCTTATCAGCAGTCACAACAAGTGTCATAATTTGTTGTTACAGGTAATATGCTTATCATATGTGTCATTTATGTTCATCAAAATTATTTCGTACAAATAGCATCATTCAGTCCGCATTTGTCATTTGTAATTTCAACATATGACCACACTAATTGCAAAGTTTACTGTAGTTTCATGATGAAAACGCAATTGACAGTTCAACTGTAATGAACTTCATAAAAAAACATCGTTTACGTAAAAATATTAAATTCAAAGAAATGTATCATTGCCTGCCCTCACTTTTGATAATAGAATAACATTGATTGTATTGTCTAATATCCCATTTTTCTCTATTCTTAATAACTTTAATTTCAAAACATTTCTCTATTCTGTAGCATATATTATACAGACCATAAAGATAAGCTAATCATTAGGACAGAAACATTGACCAGTAGATTCATTAAATTAGTCCCATTAGTCCCTGTTTTGAAACATTACAATAAAAACAAAACACTTATACTTATACTTATGAAATACTAAAAACGAAAATGATCATGTGCATGCTTTTTCATGTGTTTATGTATCTGACCACACAAATGTCACTCCAAGTAAAATATTGTGACGAAGGAGGGATGAAAATAAACGTGACACATCCTCTTAGAATTGATGACATCTCTACGCCACCCTTTATTTTCATTCTGTGGTGAACCCTGTTATCTTATTCATACCTACACATGTTTCTATTGTTGAAGACCTTATGGTGACTGCTAGATGTCTTATTGTTATTTCAGATCATATGAATAAATAGAGATACGGGTATATTCTAGTTCTGAGATAGTTTTACTGTGTCCGGTTTAGTTTTACACACAAAAGTCACGTGATAACATCAGAAACCTATGTAATGTTGGGATCAATACAACAGTGTTTGCATGAAAACATCAACATATGGGCAATGTCACCTTTCAGCAGTTGTTCATCAGGGTGAGGGGGTCAAACTAGAACAGTGAGGTCGACTTTTTTTGAGTGAAAATCTATTTAAATCGTTACAATTGCTTACTGTAAACTGGAAAATTTTGCATGTTTTGTGCCGTCTTTTTTTTGTTGATTTGCAAACCAAATCTAAATCCGCGCCGTTTTGAATTCGCATTATCCCGGTGTCCTACATAAGTATTTTATAATCAATGATAAAAAATGATTTGGAAAGTAAACAATTTACATGTGTTGTAAATCAAGGGACAGGTGAAAAATCGATCAGAATTCCTTTTTGTCGGTTCATAATGTGAAAGTAGTTTAAAGTTATAAGTCATGTTTACTTTTAAAAATACATCCCAATAAACAAAGACGAATGACATATTAGACTCATATCAAGAATGAATTAAATGTTTTCAAGATTACTGCTAATTAATTAATCTGATTAGTCTGTGTAGCAGATATAATGAGGTAAAATTGTAAAACTGATTGACAGCTGTTATTTACATATTTGTAACAATAGTTTATATAACAATATCCATAATATCCGCTTGTTTGAGATGTCTTCCATGTTAATAAGACTAACATGAGTTAAGTTGTGATTTCTAACATTGCCTTTCATTTAGAAATTCATTTAAGATTATGATATTGGGTATAGATCTGTGGTGTGTAAAACCGGAGTTCTGCAGTGGTCCTGTACATTTCCTATTTATATATGTTCATGTATGGTCTTCATCTTATAAATCGGCTTTCCTTGAAATATTTGCGGCAGCTTTATTTTCATGCGACCGCGAAAATAGCGAAAATAAAACTGCTGCGAAAATTTCGCTGTTTACAGTAATTCATCTGTGTAAAAAACTAGACATATAAAAATGTCACATGATACTACCTCTTTCAATCTTCACATTGAAACAACAACTATCCCACAAATTTTCCAATCATGTCAATTAGACACTCCAGTAAAAAGAAAGATAAGGCCATCTAGAGAGTACAATACAATACAATATGTGTTTATTCCAATTAAGGTCCTTCAGGGGGCAATGACAAAAATACATTAACAATCACAATTTAGTTATACAAATAGTACTGTACAAGAATACAATGTATATATGTTGAGTACTCTGCAATAAGGATGTTTTCGGCAGTGTGACCCAAGGGAGACAAAGTTCAATGAAATCTTCAATAACATACACCATTTTCATCTTTTTTTTTATTGTATTTTTTTACAGTGCAAATTGTAAAACCATTTCTGTTGCAAAGATTTTTGATTATGAATATTTTGTATTCACTCATTATAGTTGAAATGAAGAAAAGATGAAACAATTACCACGATTATCAGGAGCCCTCAGAGCTTTTACAGATGTTGGATATATTCAGGCAGATGAGCCAGTATCTAATGAACACAAACGTCAACACATAGCTCAATCAAAAACAGAGGGATTGACTTGGGAGAAGCTTACATCTAATCTTAATAAACAGGCAGATGTAGACAAGACAGATCTTACTAAAACTTTGAAGGAATTGTCTCAATGTGCCAAGAATATAGGTAAGGAATTGTCACAGTGGGCCAAACATATAGGTAAGGCATTGTCACAGTGGGCCAAGAATAAAGTTAAGGCATTGTCACAGTGGGCCAAGAATATAGGTAAGGCATTGTCACAGTGGGCCAAGAATATAGTTAAAGTATTGTCACAATGGGCCAAGAATATAGGTAAGGCATTGTCACAGTGGGCCAAGAATATAGGTAAGGAATTGTCACAGTGGGCCAAGAATATAGGCATTGTCACAGTGGGTCAAGAATATAGGTAAGGAATTGTCTCAATGTGCCAAGAATATAGGTAAGACATTGTCTCAAAGTGCCAAGAATATAGGTAAGGCATTGTCTCAATGTGCCAAGAATATAGATAAGGCAGTGTCACAGTGTTTCAAGAATATACGTAAGGAATTGTCCCAATGTGCCAAGAATATAGGTAAGGCATTGTCACAGTGGGCCAAGAATATAGGTAAGGCATTGTCACAGTGGGCCAAGAATATAGGTAAGGAAATGTCTATTTGTAAGTATAGTTCTATTTTAGTATTTAAATGTTTTTAGATGTCAAATGATTGCTTTGTGCTGTGATATTCCTGCTTCACCAAAGAAGTTGAAGCACATGCCTATTTTCAAACAATTTCAAGATTTAATTTTATCAAATATACAATGATATAAGAATAGTTTAAGTCGCTATGTACAAGGAAAACAATATTGAAATCTTACTTACTCTATATTTACAGTTGGATCTGAAGCATCATCAGAAACAATAGAAAGTGGTGCAGCCTTTCTCTTTGATGTCTTCAAAGATGTTGATAAAGTTGGACCAACACAAACAGCAAAGCTTAGAAATATATTTGGACCATTTCCTGCCACTGCTGCTACTAAAGCCTGTATCCTTGTTAACAGAGTAGTATCATGGATACCAGAGGAATCATCGTTGTTACTAGGTAACCAGGATAGAGAGGAAGGGGATGGTGAAGCAACAGTTCAGGAGTTTGGGAAAGGGATAAAATTTGCTCTTCCTAAATTTGAAGAGTTTCAAGATTTGTCAGAATCAGAGACAGATGATGATGATGAAGAGAAAAATGCTATAGGAGATTTAAAATATTTAGAACCAACTCCACAGAAAACACAAAGAACACAACAACCGTCAGATAAGTATGTATGTTTTAGTGTCACAAAATAAACGTGATGAATGGTTCGCAAGAGAAAAAAAAGTTATACTAATTAAATTTTCGAAGGATTTTTGATCCCATAGAAAATCTTAATGAAACTGTCCCAAAGCAAAACCAACCAAAAAATAAATTGGCATGCAAATTATTGTCTTTAGTAAATTAAATAATTGTACCTAAATTGATAGAAGAATTAAGGTCACAAAAACCCTGTGATGGATGGACAACAGCGATAAGATGGCTGAACTTTCTTATGAATGGGGTTAAGATATAAACCAAGACAAGCAAGTATAATGTAACTAAATTATTTATCGGTTTTGAAATGTCATATTTATACATTACAGATTAGAATTTGATGCTGCATGGCTGGAGACAGAAATGGGTAAATATTACTCTGAGGCAGACATTGGATTGTCAATAGAAGATTTATGTTCCACAGTCTTTGATGTTTTGACGTCATCTAAAACTGACACAGAATTACAGAATGATGTAAGTATCAAGGCATTCCAACCAATATTTACAGACTGACACAGAATTACAGAATGATGTAAGTATCAAGGCATTCCAACCAATATTTACAGACTGACCCAGAATTACAGAATGATGTAAGTATCAAGGCATTCCAACCAATATTTACAGGCTGACCCAGAATTACAGAATGATGTAAGTATCAAGGCATTCAAACCAATATTTACAGACTGACACAGAATTACAGAATGATGTAAGTATCAAGGCATTCAAACCAATATTTACAGACTGACACAGAATTACAGAATGATGTAAGTATCAAGGCGTTCAAACCAATATTTACAGACTGACACAGAATTACAGAATGATGTAAGTATCAAGGCATTCCAACCAATATTTACAGGCTGACACAGAATTACAGAATGATGTAAGTATCAAGGCATTCCAACCAATATTTACAGGCTGACACAGAATTACAGAATGATGTAAGTATCAAGGCATTCCGACCAATATTTACAGGCTGACACAGAATTACAGAATGATGTAAGTATCAAGGCATTCCGACCAATATTTACAGGCTGACACAGAATTACAGAATGATGTAAGTATCAAGGCATTCAAACCAATATTTACAGACTGACACAGAATTACAGAATGATGTAAGTATCAAGGCATTCCAACCAATATTTACAGACTGACACAGAATTACAGAATGATGTAAGTATCAAGGCATTCCAACCAATATTTACAGACTGACACAGAATTACAGAATGATGTAAGTATCAAGGCATTCCAACCAATATTTACAGACTGACACAGAATTACAGAATGATGTAAGTATCAAGGCATTCCAACCAATATTTACAGACTGACACAGAATTACAGAATGATGTAAGTATCAAGGCGTTCCAACCAATATTTACAGACTGACACAGAATTACAGAATGATGTAAGTATCAAGGCGTTCCAACCAATATTTACAGACTGACACAGAATTACAGAATGATGTAAGTATCAAGGCGTTCCAACCAATATTTACAGACTGACACAGAATTACAGAATGATGTAAGTATCAAGGCGTTCCAACCAATATTTACAGACTGACACAGAATTACAGAATGATGTAAGTATCAAGGCGTTCAAACCAATATTTACAGACTGACACAGAATTACAGAATGATGTAAGTATCAAGGCGTTCAAACCAATATTTACAGACTGACACAGAATTACAGAATGATGTAAGTATCAAGGCGTTCAAACCAATATTTACAGACTGACACAGAATTACAGAATGATGTAAGTATCAAGGCATTCAAACCAATATTTACAGACTGACACAGAATTACAGAATGATGTAAGTATCAAGGCATTCAAACCAATATTTACAGACTGACACAGAATTACAGAATGATGTAAGTATCAAGGCATTCAAACCAATATTTACAGACTGACACAGAATTACAGAATGATGTAAGTATCAAGGCATTCCAACCAATATTTACAGACTGACACAGAATTACAGAATGATGTAAGTATCAAGGCATTCCAACCAATATTTACAGACTGACACAGAATTACAGAATGATGTAAGTATCAAGGCATTCCAACCAATATTTACAGACTGACACAGAATTACAGAATGATGTAAGTATCAAGGCATTCCAACCAATATTTACAGACTGACACAGAATTACAGAATGATGTAAGTATCAAGGCGTTCAAACCAATATTTACAGACTGACACAGAATTACAGAATGATGTAAGTATCAAGGCATAGATTACTGTGGATTCATTAGTATTAGTGGGATACCAATTGTTGTGGATTTCGTGGGTACAGGTGAACCAGGAAATTAAATGTTCAACTAAATACAAATCTTCTATAGGTTTGTATGCAGACTTTTGTAAAACCACAAAATCAAATATGCATGAAAATACCCGTTACCCTTTACCCTTCATCCACAAATTTTGGTATCTAAGAAAATTAATGAATCAACAGAAACCATAAATTAAGAAAAGAGAGATAGCACCATGGCAAAAAAAAAAAAAAAAAACAACCCAAAAAAAACAACGCAAAACAACCCCAAAAAACAAAAAGATAAATGACAGTCTAGAAGACATTACACAGAAAATCATTAACAACATGTCATCAAACCCTTTAGAATACTTGGGGGGTGCTTCTGGTTGGGGATGCTTCTGGAAGGGTTTTCAGTTCTTGCTCCACTAGTGTCACCCATTGTTAAAGTAAGAAAAAGTAAATCAGATGATCCGACACATTTAACAATGTATGAAGAGAAGACAGTAAGACAAGATTATGGCTACGACAGCAACATAAATATTATTCATAGCTATCTGTGCCCCTGATATTCCAAAGTTGAAATCATAGTGGCTTCTGTTAAACTTTTTATAAAAGATAACTTCCAAAAGTAAAGTTTTACCTCCGCCATCAGAAGTTGGTTAACCATTAGTGGATTATCTGTGCCACAGATGGCCACAGATGACCACAAATATATTCCAAATGACATAAACACAATCTGGCCCTCTTTTCCTTGATAATGCCATCCCTGTATAAGACTCATCACTTAATTTGTACCTATCATAAGCAACATGATGGGTGCCACAATTGTAGCAGGATCTTCTTACCCTTCTGGAGCACCTGAGGTCCCCCCTGTTTTCCATTTTTAAATGTCCTCTTGGTATCTTCTGCTTCTTTGTTTTCAACTATACCATGTATACCAACAAAATACATCTTTGTGTAAACTGTTTCCTTTACAACAAAATATATTTTATGTATCTTTATTTTGAGTTACATGGTTTTGAGCTGTTAGAATTCGACAGATTTGTACTGATCTTGTTTCCTTGTTTTTATTTTTCAGTTATTTGAGCTGTTAGGATTCGACAGATTTGTACTGATCTTGTTTCCTTGTTTTTATTTTTCAGTTATTTGAGCTGTTAGGATTCAACAGATGTGTACTGATCTTGTTACATATGTTTTTATTTTTCAGTTATTTGAGTTTTTAGGATTTGACAGATTTGAACTGATACAGAGTCTGATTCAGAACAGAAAACAAATCATCAAAACAGCTTTAATGGCAGAAGAGAGTGCTAAAAGTAATAAAATGTTCCCCTATTTTAGACCATCTACCCTTTAGTATAGAAATAGTTTTATGATAATAGATATAGGAAGATGTGGTATGAGTGCCAATGAGACAACTCTGCATCTAAGTTACAATTTATAAAAGTAAACCATTATAGGTCAAGGTACGGCCTTCAACACGGAGAATTGGCTCAGACCGAACAGCAAGCTATAAAGGGCCCCAAAAAATTACTAGTGTAAAACCATTCAAACGGAAAAACCAATGGTCTAATCTATATAGAAACGAGAAACGAGAAACATTATGATAATGATTAGTTGTAAGAAGGGATTGCATTAACAAAGAAAATATTTTAAATGTATCAACTATGGGTTTTTTGTAGTCATTACATATTCTCTGGTATTATATTTTCAAGAAAGTACCAATTAAACAAAATCAATGTATAAAATAAAAATACCAACTCCAAGGTAAATACAGGGAAGTCCATAAAACCTGACAAATCCAAAGGCTTGACAATATCAAACAACTGTCCTAATTCCTGACTTGATACAGGCATTTAAAATAATGTGTGAGCAGTTAGAGATATTTTAAGTTTTTAGAATTTACATCAGCAATATGAAAACAATGTTGGATTGTTACACTTTACTTTGTTACACTTTTGGATCTAAAATAAAAGCTTCTATAATACTAGCAACAAGAATCCCACCTATAACTGTGAATTGACATGTTCTGGAAGGGGAAGTAATTCCTGCTCCACTGATAGGTACAGAATCTTGTATTGAATTCATGAAGACTGCACATGCTTTTCACATTGTGATTTTGATTTTCTTTCAGAAAAAACGGAAGGTAGTTTTAGTAGACCAACTTATGGTTGTCAAGTTACAATCCAGGTAAGGCAATGCAGATCTTAACTTATACAGCATTCTGGTGGTAAAAGTCTTATCATAAAAAAACTGATTGAATTAGACAGAAAAATTATGATTTGGATAGATAAAATTCAGAATTTTTGCACTTCAATGATGTAAACCATCGCCAAATCAATTTAAATTTTGCAGTTGAATCATCGATTTATAGTTGGTCACTTTTTTTGTTGTTGTTAACCTTTTTCGGTTACAAAGTAAAGGTGATGAGGTTGCCAAGATAGTAACTTTAATAGTATTCATTGAATAATATGTAAAATGTCATTTGTGTTGCTTTCTGTGAACAGAGGATCCCAAAAAAAATTTCTTAAATCTTGACAGAAAGTTTTTCAAATGAAACCTAACTGGATCAATTTCAGCCTTTTCCTATATTTTTTCAGTCTGAAGATGAAAAAAGGCTGATGAAACAAATGAGAAAGGATGAGAAGCGTGGAGACAGACCGAGAACTGATGATATGGAATCGTTCAACTTTGACCCTAAAACTATGAGGATGCAAAGGTAAACAAGGTCATATAGGCCAGAATGAATTAAGGTAGCAATTAGCATTGTAAGAGATTCAAAATGGGAGCAAGATCTTTGGAAAAAAATCCTTAACCATTCCTACCTTCATATATATATATATAGACTCAATGAATTCTAACATATCATTGTTTTGTAGTACAAAAACAGTATTGTACCTGGGTTTATAACAATACAAAATTTTTATAAAAAATATTTTAGGAACAAAATCAATACCCCTACAATATATTGAATTAGCTTAAATTAATAACATATATTTTATGGTGAAAGCAATGTCCATCTTTCTTTTGAGGGAGAACGGTAACTGTTTATGTTATTAAGTTGCTCTTTCACTCATTAAATTTTAATATCTCCTTTTATACAGGAAGAAAAAAGTAAACTTGTGAAAAAAATTAGAAATTATATACAAAGTTTAGGTAATTGGACATTTTATCAATACATAGTCTTGTTTACTTTCAGAGAGGCAGCCCTATTAGCAGCTGCTACAGCACCAGTTTTACAGCAGAACAGCCTTAACAGGGGAAGCTACAAAATCCCAGAGAAATACCCAAATGTGTATGACAGCATGGCTGAGGCTAGACAATCATCTGCATTTATTGCTGGTGTTAAGGTGGGTCTTTATGATATGTTATTATACAGTTCTGTAATCTTGACTTTACAACTTGATTTATTCGAATTAGAGAATAAAATAAAGAGATACTGTGGATTCATTTATTTTCGTAGGTACCAATTTTCGTGGATTAAGGAAAACTTACATGTTGGTGGATATTTAACTTCGTGGTTTTGCCGAAGTCTGCATACAAGCCTAATGGAAATTTGTCATTCATTGAACATTTAATTTCGTGCTTCACCTGTATGCACGAAATCCATGAAAATTGGTATCCAACTAATAATAATGAATCCATATTATGTCTTATGTAATTAATTTATGAAAAGGTGAGTCTGAGGAGACCAGATTGATTATAGGCACTTGATTTGATTCCTGTTAATGTCATCCAGGGTTTACTTGACAGTTGATATTTGCATTTATATTTCTTATCTATAAATTAAAGTCTGACAAATCATTGCATTTAATAACAAAAGAAAATTTCCACAAAATTTTGTTGTCTAAATATGTTTTTAACTTTTTTATTATATCTATAGATGTTACTGTCAGATAATTTCCGTAAGAACAACAATAAAATGTATGAAGAAGTGATAATACCACACACAGACACGGCACCAGCTAACATTGGAAATAACAGGGTACCAGTAGATCAACTAGATGAGGTAGATTTCATTGTAGTTTTCAAAAATAACACAAGAGTATAAATCTGTCTTCCTTAATAAAAGAGCATGTTGCTGAAATAAATCATTCTTTAGAATGTCCAGATAGCCACTGAAGAAAATTATTGCTTGCATTTATTATTAAGATTTTTGAAGAATGAAAACAATGCGAGTTGAATTATTGCAATTTCAGGAAAAGCTACATACAGATATTTGTATTAGATATCAGAATACAAGTTCTTATAATTGCGAAACTCAAGGAGTTACACTATTGGCATTTATAAAACTTTGTAATAATTTCTAAATATACAGTATTATTATTATGTATCATGATTCCAGGTTTTCCAGGTAGGTTTAAAAATTATTTGAATACAAATTTAATATAAACCAGAAAAAAGTAAACTGGTAATAAGTTTATCATCTTTGACATTGTTTAATTTTTTTGTTACTAATAATTATTTCTGACGTTTATTTACTCATTGATAATAGACAGTCTTTCTTTGAAATGTCAGTGAATTCAATTAAAATATTTGTCAGAAGTAAAAGTAAGTTGATTTAAGAACAGAGGTTAATATGTTTTGAAAGTTATTTCAATCTTTATCATTTATTGGTCAGAATAAAATGATTATAATCAATTTTCAGATTGGACAGATAGCCTTCAAAGGGACGAAGGAATTGAATCGTATCCAAACAGTTGTATTCCCAGCTGCGTACAAAACTAATGAGAACCTGTTGATCTGTGCCCCTACTGGAGCTGGTAAAACTAACATTGCTATGTTAACCATTCTACATGAAATAAAACAACATATCTCTCAAGGGGTCATCAAGAAGGATGAATTCAAAGTAAGATTTGAAAAAAGGTTCACAATAAAATTTTAACAAAAAAATGTTAACATTCAAATTTTGAAAAAAGTCTCTATATATCAAAAGATACACAATTGATGTATTAAAATCTTTTAAACAAGATGAAAGAACAGAAAAGTTGCAGAATATTATTTGAATCAATCTATATTTGCCTTTATTGAACTTCTCCAAATTTTCTGTTCTTATCAAAATGTTTAAACAAGTATTTTTAAGTGAAAGTCAATCCCTTGTAGAAATTTAAAACAATTGGAAAACTTAAATAAAAAACAAAAACAGATATGATAAATAGTTTATAAAGTATTTTTACACAAAAATGTATTATTTTGACTGTCTTAAAATGTTTTTTATTGATATAAATAAACATAAAAAAATGATATACACCTAAAAAATTTGAGACATGATTTCTAAAAACAGTGAAAATATGTTTACCACAACTTCTTTAAATGAACTGCTCCTTATTATTGAGTTCTTAAATTTAAATGAATTTTCATGTATTCTTTGTACTGCACAAAACGATATCTTAAACAAAACATAGTTCTATTTAATTCAATATTAAACAGTCTGCTATCTATAGATTTTGACGAATTAATGTTTACTCTTCCATTTGATTTAAGACATTCATTTGACTCATCCTTACAAAAGTTGTCTGATGCTTGCATCAACAATGATTTCCCAACATTTCCGTAAATTCTATACTGTTTTGTAGATCATTTATGTGGCTCCAATGAAGGCCTTGGCAGCTGAGATGGTGAGAAACTTTGGTAATCGGTTGGAACCGTTGGGTATATCTGTGAGAGAGTTGACTGGAGATATGTCTCTAACAAAGGCAGAAATTCTGAAAACACAGGTAAGATAATTATTGTAAGCTGTCAGACCTGTCTTTCATCTTGTGAATTAAAAAATAGTTTTTTTAATGTCTGATAAAAACGTAAAGATAAAAGAACAGAGTTCCAATGTTGCACATATTTTATCTATCCAAGGATCAAGGGCAATAACTAAAAAAATACACTTTTTTTTTGTTCTTTAAAACTGTTGATAAATATCTTAGAGAAATGAATGCTTCAGAGCAAATTCAATGAGATTTCCAATATAATTAATATTTCCAAGGGGCATAACTCATTAAAAAATTATTAGCACTTATTTTCGAAAGTGTCAAAGACATTGCTGATGTAAACCTATGATATAAAATTCTGGCAAGAATTGTACATATGAGAGCGCTAACGATGCAATTTTTCATTAAATTAATATCTCAAAGGGCATAACTCTTTTTAAAATTATTAATCGGCAAAGATTTTTGAACTCATCCAAGACATTGATGATATAAACCTATAATTTAAATTTCATAAAAATCTGTCAAGAATTGTACACATGAGAGCACTCACAAGGCCATTTTTCACATATAATTAATATCTCCAAGGGGCATACCTCTTTATAAAATAATTGATCAGCACAGATTTTCCAACTCGTCCAAGACATTGCTGAAATGAACCTATAATATAAGTTTTATAAAAATCTGGCAAGCATTGTACATGTGAGATTACTAACAAGACTGGATGGACGCCTGGTATTTCTTTGTCCCCACACAAAGCGTTGCGCTTTGGACAAAAATGACATATCAATGTTGCAATAAAGAGAATATTTTGTTATTTTAGCAGATGGTATTTTTGACATTTTTTCCACAAGAAGTTTTTAATTCTTTTATCCCACATTACACCATACCAGAGGCCATAATGTTATAGTTTGTCTGTCCATTAGAATGTTTGTCCTTACTTTGTTGTTGTCTGGTAGGTGTCTTGTTGGACCCCCTCCATATTTGACAGAAGGTTTTAACTTTAATATTTAATCCTAAGTAGAGTTTAATAAAAAAATTAATTGAAATTTGAAAACCATTGTTTTTTTGGAGGGGGCATATATCACATAATTGTGTCACCTGAGTATCACTATTTTTTCTGTCAGATCCTCTTTAAATTTAAATGAAGGTTGACTAATCAAAATCAAGAATGGCTTTCAGATTCAGAAAAGAACAGAAATTGGGATCCTTTTTTTAAAAAACAGGACTTGAAAACATTATTGATGACCTTTGAATTTTATTTACAATCTCACTTAGGCCAATTCATTTAGTCAGAGTAGTGCTACTGTAAGTTGGTGTTCCAGCTGACAATGCATCTAGTTTCTCATTTTGTAAGAGCAGAATTATATTGTTGTTTCAATTGACAAAGTTCAAGCTTTATGTTTAATAGATGATGGTAACAACACCAGAGAAATGGGATGTTGTCACCAGGAAAAGTACGGGAGATGTGGCTCTTGCACAGTTGGTGAAACTGTTAATTATTGATGAAGTTCATTTACTCCACGATGACAGAGGGGCTGTTATTGAAAGTTTAGTGGCCAGGACCATAAGACAGGTGTGTATGCATATAGATATTTGATAGAAGTTTAGAAAAAGTTTACATTTAGGTAAAGGGATACTGTTTACCAACTTATTTTTCTAGACCCACCTTAATACAATTAATTTTCACGATTTTCTAACTTTTCTGATGTATTTATGTAAAGGAAGATCCATGTTTGACAAATAAGTGATTTTTTCACTTTCATGTAAAGAAAATGGCTTGCAGAGTTTGTCTCCAGTTTTAATCCTTATCTTGTACTTTAATAATTGAATAATAAATTTTATGAACTGTATATGAAAATTTTGTTATGAAAAATATGATAATCTTGAAATTGGGGACTGTGTAATAAAGAGCCAATTTAAAAATGAAATGAAAAAAAAATTGATAATAATCTAAATGATTGAAAATAGTTTTAGATGAAAAGAATTGATACAGATTCCTCAAGAGCTAGTGATATCAAGTGCTTTGAAATTAAATGCTTGCACTATATTGTGTTATTGTTTGCACTGTCAGGACTGTAGAAGTGTAGAGCTTGACATCCAGAAAAAGTCTACAACACTGCATATAGCTAAAATAAAGAAAAAATGGTTTACATATTTTTCTCAAAACAATAAAACACCTATTGTATGCTTCAAATTAACAGTCACTTTAAAGACTTTTCAGATCTTATATCTGAATTGTAGCACAGTATTTTATATCTGAATTGTAGCACAGTATTTTATATTTCAGGTTGAGAGTAGCCAGAACATGATTAGAATTATAGGACTGTCAGCCACATTACCAAATTATTTAGATGTGGCCAGATTTCTACATGTTAATCCATACCAAGGTCTTTTCTTTTTTGATGGCAGGTTTAGACCTGTCCCATTAAGCCAGACATTTGTAGGTATGTATTTTATATGTAAATACTTGACCAGGACTTCTGTTTTATTTATATCAATTGACTTATCCACTAGAAATATTGTTTGTTGTAGGTAATATATTTTTGTGTATGCAAGAAATCTGGACAACTTGAGTATATTGCCTGACATTTGATAGACAAGGTCACAATGTAACAGTTCACAGTAAAAAAATGTCACCTTACTTTCAAATTATTCTGATAGGCAACCAACCAAACCTAAATGCTGCATTTTGTGATTTCTGGGGTATACCTGTTTGCCTGGTTTTGTAGGTTCATCATTTTGGGATTGCTTTGGCCAAACTTGTTTGCCAGATTTTGTATGTTTACGTTTCTTTCTTGTCCCTGATTCTAATATTCCTTAAAAATCAAACTTATGTATGATGGGAGGGTGGGAAATCATACAAAATGATCCTTGTGCACTTAATATACAAGCTTAAAATAACCTTAACAATTATTTTACTTAAACAAGAAAATTGTTCCCACTTACAATTATTAAAAATACTTGTGCTTTTAGCATAATAATTCCAAAAACATCCTATTGCGGCATAATACCATCCAATTATATTTAATTAAAAATTAAATAATAAACCAGTATGAAATTAGCAGTCACCGATCAGATTCATTAATCTGTGACAAACAAACATGTGAAATGCTGTTTGTAAACTAACAACTTTAAAAACTGTAAAAATAAATTAGTGTTAATCTAACTTTAATAAGTTATCCTAATTAATTATCGTTTACAGGTGTCAAGTCTACCAACAGAGTACAACAGTTACAAGAAATGAATACAGTTTGTTATGAAAAAGTACTGGAACAAGTACGACAAGGATACCAGGTAGGTTGTCTACTAAAGAAGTTTATTTATGGATGGAAATTCATAAGGGCTTTTGATGCAATTTTTAAAGCAAGTGGGTAAAAATAATTGCCAAATTTTACACTATGTTCATTTTCAAAGAACTTTGTAATCTTTATCTAGATCCCAATTGTAAGCAGCATTTTTTGGCAGTCTTCTATTTTATTTGAATGAGGTTCCAATGATGATGTTTTAGACATTTCTTGAGACTCAAAAGGGTGTAAATGTACTTTTTGTTTGTAGTGTGAATAAATGCAACTCAGTAGCATTGGATTTTCTGTGTCTATACATCTTTATATTGAAAGTTATAAGGTACACAGTTAATTATGCTAGTTTGTTATAGTATTTTCTCTCAAAAGTATACAGGTAATATATTTTTCAGACAATGGTATTTGTTCATGCTAGGAATGACACAGTGAGAACAGCCATGGTTCTACGTGATATGGCAAAGAACAAGAATGAAATTGGTTTCTTTTTACCAGAACAATCTAGACAGTATGGAGAGGCACAGAAAACTGTTAGTATAAAACTGAAAGTAATTCACTCTGGAAAAAAGTGTTCACTTTGAAAAAATAGACTGTAGATTAGATTATTAAGGTTTTAATAGAAAACACAAGCACACACACATACAAACAAAATCTGAACAGTGTAGGATTCACTTGGAATTTCAATATAGTAATGGAATTTATTGATTGAAAACAGCTTTTACAGATAATATTCTTCATGCCATAATTTTAAGTTTTAAGTTTTCATCATTTTGAAATGGACAAAAAGTGATATCTCAGGAGAAGTTAAGTAAAATCAGTTAGATGAATTTTTGGTAGATTTGGTAATTCCCTTTGTAAAAATGAGCTATTTTTTGGTTTTTTTTCAGACGATGAAATCACGTAATAAACAGCTGAAGGATTTGTTTCCTGATGGCTTTGCCACTCACCATGCTGGTATGTTACGACAAGACAGAAATATCGTAGAGAAATACTTTGCAGCAGGACTAATTAAATGTTTAGTATGTACTGCCACTCTAGCCTGGGGAGTAAATCTACCTGCACATGCTGTCATCATTAAGGTATGTTACAGAATATGAATGGTAGGAAGAACTTACTGCATCTATGTCTAAGATTTAATTCAGTGATTTACATCCTTGATCTTTGTTCTATGGATGATAGTTGTCTCATTGGAGATCTATGTCTAAGATTTATTGCAGTGGTTAACATCCTCCATCTTTGTTCTATGGATGATAGTTGTCTCATTGGAGATCTATGTCTAAGATTTATTGCAGTGGTTAACATCCTCCATCTTTGTTCTACGGATGATAGTTGTCTCATTGGAGATCTATGTCTAAGATTTATTGCAGTGGTTTACATCCTCCATCTTTGTTCTATGGATGATAGTTGTCTCATTGGAGATCTATGTCTAAGATTTATTGCAGTGGTTAACATCCTCCATCTTTGTTCTATGGATGATAGTTGTCTCATTGGAGATCTATGTCTAAGATTTATTGCAGTGGTTAACATCCTCCATCTTTGTTCTATGGATGATAGTTGTCTCATTGGAGATCTATGTCTAAGATTTAATTCAGTGATTTACATCCTTGATCTTTGTTCTATGGATGATAGTTGTCTCATTGGAGATCTATGTCTAAGATTTATTGCAGTGGTTAACATCCTCCATCTTTGTTCTATGGATGATAGTTGTCTCATTGGAGATCTATGTCTAAGATTTATTGCAGTGGTTAACATCCTCAATCTTTGTTCTATGGATGATAGTTGTCTCATTGGAGATCTATGTCTAAGATTTATTGCAGTGGTTAACATCCTCAATCTTTGTTCTATGGATGATAGTTGTCTCATTGGAGATCTATGTCTAAGATTTATTGCAGTGGTTAACATCCTCAATCTTTGTTCTATGGATGATAGTTGTCTCATTGGCAATCATACCACATATCCTTACTTTTAAATGAATTAATTTTAAATGAATTAATCTCCTTATTTTCTATATAGGTCTTGATTATACCAATGAAGGCATCATATGATAGAAAAACAAAGGATATGGGTAACCATCCATAGCACAAAACAGTACTTACACAGAGCTTGTTTGATAGTCAGAACTATATGTTCACTATAAAAGAATGTCAATTAACAAATTAGACAGTTATGCCCCCAACGTAGTGGAGGGGGCATTAAGTTTTACCCTTGTCCGTCTGTATGTCCATCCATATGTCCGTACATCCGTACGTAGGGATGTGCAAAAATTGGTTTTCCGTTCTCTAACTTTAGTTTACCTCACCCAAATTTTATGAAACTTATACAGAATTTGGGTGGCGTCACTTTTACCTTTCTAGAGTTATGTCCCTTTACAAATGGAAAAATTGCTGAAATTTTCGTTTCTGTTCTCTAACTTATGTTTGCCTCAACCAAATGTTATGAAACTTATGTGGCCTTATGTCCCACTGGGGATGAAGAGGATAAGTAAGTAAGTAACACAATGCTTATTACCACAAAACTCAGATTTAATACAAATTTGGGTAGTATCACTTTTACTGTTCTTGAGTTATGTCCGTTTTTAACGTTATATGCAAGCAGGGGCATCATCTGTGTCCCATGGACACATTCCCCATTTATTGACTTATTGGTCTTCCTATTTTAAAAGTGTTTTGGCTGTGGATAAGTTTTTCCTTTACTTCCACATTTGTTTTTTTATTTGTTGCTTGTAAATTATTTTCACATAAATATCTCTAATAATATCATAGTTCATTATATTTCTCCATGTATTGTCAAAAGAAAACAAAATACCCACTTGACTAAAGTGTTGGCAGCTCCTTAATTAATTATAGAATTTTTGTTTTTAAACAAATATGTCAAAGCAAATTTTCCAAATAATTTAGTGGATCCATTGCATGATATAATTCTTTTCCCAACCTATTCTTTTCAGGGCACACAAATTTATGATGCCAAGAAAGGTTCTTTTGTTGACCTTGGAATTCTAGATGTGATGCAGATATTTGGAAGAGCAGGACGTCCACAGTATGATAAGTTTGGAGCGGGGACAATCATAACGGCTCATGATAAACTGTCACACTATCTATCACTAATGACCAGACAGAATCCGATAGAAAGCCAGTTTATAAACAGTCTGACAGATAACCTAAATGCTGAGGTAATATTTCTGTGAAACTTTTCACCAATAGATCAGTTGTTGTAGCTGCTAACTTGTGGGTTCAAAGTACACAACATAATTGATAAAAAACACGTTATTCATAATTGGCTTGTTTATTGACAAATAATCAATGGTTGACATCTGGTAAAAATACCATGTATAAAACTGGACTCTGAAAAGTCAATTTCCGGCTTGAAATGAAAAAAAAATACTTACAGATCTTTCTCTACTGGGGATTTAAAAAAAAATGAATCAGCTGGAATTTTCCAATCCTATTTGATTTCTTTAGACTTTATAACTAAAGGCACTAAAACCAATCATTCTCTAGTTTATTGCTTAACCATAAAATTAATTTTTGACTCTTCACATTGAATAATCCGTGAAGCGGATTATGTAAAATGTGAAGAGTCAAAAATTAATTTTATGGTTCAATAAATTCAAAATAAATAATAGCCATTCATTATAAATAAATTTCTATCAAAAATAAGGCTCAAAGAGCTTTTTATATTATTTATATTAACAATAACAACGTACACACATGTTGGCGTATGAATACACAACGTCAGAGTGGGCGTGTCGCCATAAAAATTGACAACATTGAAAATAAAGGTAATACTTTAAACCAATCAGAAGACAGTAAATACACCAAATTTATTTACTTCTTCATGTAAATGCATAAGACGACCATGAACTAATTGGTATGACTTTATTTTTAAAGGTTTAGGATGCATAGTTATGTTTATTATATTTGACAGATATCTCTGGGTACTGTTACTAATATAGAAGAAGCAGTGAAGTGGTTGAGTTATACCTATCTCTATGTTAGAATGAGATGTAATCCATTGGCCTATGGACTAAACTACAACATGGCTGAGGTATATTCTTTACTTTCCCTTATGTGTGATAATTTTTCATCTGAAGCTACTTGACTGAGATTGGGTTTCCCCAGCCTAGTCGGGTGAGAATGCTACATAAGCTAATTACATTAACATTGCCTAAGAAAATAGAGAAAATCATTCAAACTCTATGAATTGTCTTGGCTGTATCTTATATTACATCTTTCACACTTCAATGTGATTTTAGCATAGCAAATCTCTCATTTTCAAAACCATAGATAATAATCAAATTGCTCAGTTCAGTCTTAATATTTTTGTAAACTATTAAAACATTTGCTTGGTATTCAAAACATTATTACTCAGGTGAAATATCTTGCTGTGAGTTATAATAAATTCATCTTAATAGATTCATTCTAGTTCCTGCTGAAAAATATTCTATAACAGATACTGGAGTCCATGGTTGCCTGTCATAGATATATTTTTTTGATTACTTTATAAATAATTTTTGTTTTAAAACACTGAAAATTTTTACAAAAAATCTGATAATAAGATTGCAATTGTATCTTTTATCAGTTGTTATCTAGTTTTATATTCTATATATGTTCTTATGATATGTAGTTCTATGTGCCTATCTTTATGCATGTTTTGTTAACTTTTTAAAAAATTATTCAACTGAATAAAAAGAAACACAAACATAATTTTGTTTTTTCTTCATCAAAGAGTCCAAATTAAAGTATGATTATTTCTTGTAATGACAAAACAGAATATGTAAATATATATTTTTCAAGACACAAAATCCCAATTGAATTATTGTATTCTAATTGACATATTATTACAGACTGACCCGATGTTAGAGGCCTACAGAAAAGATTTAATAACAGCTGCTGGACGTAAACTAGACAAAGCTCAGATGGTTAGGTTTGATGAGAGGACAGGATACTTTGCATCAACAGACCTGGGTAGAATCGCCAGTCATTTCTACATCAAATATGACACAGTAGAGGTATTGTATTCATTATTCCTTGATCTTGATAGATAGGACTTTTTGTCCTGTAAAATTTGAAGAACAGCATTAAAAGTGTTGTTTTTAAAATTTGGTTATAACTTATGAATAAATAGGAAAGTTTGGCATTCATCAAGGAGACAGCTACACAGTGACATAAAAAAATCAGAAGACATCTTAAACTTACTGTCAACAACAGACAAATTGGCTTAAGTCTAGAAAAGCTGTAAAGAAATTAAGTGACTATAAAAAATCTACAGTCAACACCAAATTACTTAAGGTTTAGAACCACTAATTCTGCCCGGTCAGAAAGAACATACAAGAAAGTAGTACATATTTTAAACAAAATAGTTCCTACGCATAGCTGTAACGTTGTCAATAAGTAAAATATTTGGGGAATTTTGGTATCAAATGAAAGCTTAAGGAATTGGGATCACTGTAGAACCCTTGAAAAAAGTTTCTTTTGAATAATAAAAAAAATATGAAATTAAGATAGGAGGGCATATTTGCCTTGTTTCTCAGATCAGAAGTACCTGTTTTTTGTACTACCCAATTGATCACAAAAAACACAAGTATAAAATAAAATTTGAAAAACAATTCTGTGTCAAAAATTGTCTTGCAGGTAATGAAATCAAGCTCAACTTCTTAAATCTGCTGATATATTGTCATTTTTACAGGTGATAAACGAGAACCTAAAGACAATAATGACAGAAGCTGATGTAGTTGCTGTTGTATCTAAAGCTCAAGAATTTGATCAGATTAAGGTAACTTTTTCTTAATTTTAGCCAATTTACACATTTTCATTATAATTGGTACTGTAAATATAATTAAATGTTTTATGCACTTGACTTTGAAAACACTGTCTTGAACTTACATGATTTGAAGGTTATTCAAAGGCCTATTCAAGTGCTATGAAATCGGTATTATATAAGTTTTGGGGGTTATTTAGGAATCATCCTGTCTGTCCTTCTGTCTGTCTGTCTGTCTGTTCATGTGCCTTGTAAGCCCCAATCCTCCAAACAGTTTGTAGGATATTGATGAAGCTTGAAACAATTGCAGAACTCAACCTGTGGATGTACATGAGAAAATATAATTCTCATCCTACATGTCAAAGGGGAGATAATCAAAGTTTTTTCTTTAATATAGTAATATTTGGAAGTCCATTTCCTCCTAAAAAGCAAGACAGATATAAATTCAACTTTTACACAGTTGTAGATCACTACCTTAGGGAATACATAGAGGAATAAATTCCAGTCCAACATGCTAAAGGAGATACTTTGAATTGCAGTGTGGGTGTACTCTTTGTGAGTTAACTCACAGTTCCAGTTTTGAATAGCTTCTGTAACTTGTTTGATCAGTCAGAAGAAAAATATGTTTAAGTTTAATGTAGGTTTTATAAAAAATTGTAACTATGTTTGTAGGTCAGAGAAGATGAAATGACAGAACTAGAGGAGCTTATGAGTGAAACCTGTGTGATGCAGGTTCCTGGTGGTGTAGAGAATACATATGGCAAAGTTAATATTCTAATGCAGGCCTTTGTATCCAGACAGAGTGTTGATAGCTTCTCACTTGTATCCGACCAGGCTTATGTAGCTCAGGTGAGTTAATAGTTTTCAGGTTTTTGAGCATACGTAAATAGAAATAAAAATTAAAGCTTTTCCCAATACAGAGACAAAAAATTTGGTTGTGTTAAAACGTTGTCAGCAATTTCTTTAGTACAAGGAAACTTGTCTTAATCGAATCCTATGAAAACTGAAACCTATTTAAAATGAATCCTATGTGAAATGAAAACTTGTCTTAAATGAACCTTAACTATAAAAAGACAACAACATCCTGGTTACAGCAAGGAAATTATTTTATTGTGGTCGAAATGTTTTGCCAATTAGAGTGGCGTCTTCAGGACAATATAAAGATAGAAACAAACACTGAAGTACATAACATGAGGTTTATCTGGGGTTACAGAAAGGTAATATTATCCTGAAGACTTAGAAACATGTTGACCACATTAAAATAATGTCCCTGTTGTAACCAGGATGTTGTTGTCTTTTTATAGCTTAGATTTATGAGGTTTTAAGACAATCACAGCATACATGGGTATCCATCCTGATTACTCTACCAGCCAGATAGTGTTGGTACACTTGACTTATTTATAATGAACCTTGTGTAAATTGAACAGTTGTACCAAGACATACAAGAAACATTAGATCACCTGTATTGTCTCGACTCTGAAGAGTTTCATATAGGCAGGCTTTCTTTCTTTTTTAAAAATCTGTTAAACTTTAATCCTGAATTGCTGTAAAAAACATATTATATATAAAGATTGATGACAATAAATTCCCTTTAGAAAAAAGGTTAACCTTTTTTAGGTTTTGCAGTTGATGGGGTCAGGCATATCATTAATTGCAGGTTATTTTTTAACGAATAAATATGGACATTTCCTTCAAAACAAGGTCGAAACATTATTTGATAAAGTTTACCCCTTCCTTTGAGGAAGTCTATTATTCATGTAATAGATGTAGTCAATTTTGATCAATCGGGATCCAGACATTAGGAGAGCTCATTATATATATGGAAAAATATTGTAACTTTGTCAAATTTTATGAATGTGTATCTTTCTTTTCTTCAGAATGCAGGAAGAATTATGAGAGCTTTATTTGAGATTTGTCTAAAGAAAAGTTGGCCCATAATGGCTGGCCGTTTGTTAAACCTCTGTAAAACAATTGACAAAAGACTTTGGGGATTTGAGAATCCTCTTCGACAATTTCCAACCTTATCACAGGAAATACTGAAAAAAATTGAAGACAAAAAATTAACAATTGATAAACTAAAAGAGATGGATCATAAAGAAATTGGTAATATAAAAGTTTAATTATTGACCTGGGTATTTAGACATCTATTGAGTGAGAGTAAACTCACAAGAACAAAAACATACTGTTAAGGTCATATAGTATAAAGATAAGGAGATGTGGTATGATTTCCAATGAGACAACTATCCACCAACATTCAAATGAATTAAACAACCATACATATGTTTGTCTTTATCACAGACACATATGTAAATAAAGAGAGGAAATAAAGCAGTAACTTTAATTCACTATGGAGAGATAAAACTGTCAATTAAGTGTTATATAGTTATTGTAAGAATAAACTGAAAACTACCTCAGAAGGAGACATCGCTCTACCTGACTAATCCTATTTCATTAGACTTTAGGAAATTTATGTTGAATGGTTGACATCTATTGGTTTTATATAGCACTTCTAATGTTCATTCCAAACCAATTTACTTACTCTTCCTATATTAGATAGTTATAATGGAATAAATGGTTTTAGTTCTATAGAGAGGAGGACATTGGAAGATGTAGATATAAAAATAAGAAGATGTGGTATGATTGCCAATGAGACAACTCTCCACAAGAGACCATATGACACAGAAATTAACAACTATAGGTCACCGTATGGCCTTCAACAATAAGCAAAGCCCATACCGCATAGTCAGCTATAAAAGGCTCCAAAAAGACAAGTGTAAAACAATTCAAACAAGAAAACTAACTGCCTAATTTATGTACAAAATAATAAATTTAACAGTACTTCACTGATAAATTTAAGAAATTACGTCTGGCACTCTGTACCTGCTCATATTGGAACTAAAAACTATTGACCTAAATCATGACAAGATCACAATAACAAATTTATTGATGTAATATAACTGATATTTTATAGGTCACATGGTACATCATGTGAGAATGGGATCCACCATTAAAAAGTGTGTCAATCAGTTACCTGCCCTTGACCTTGAAGCAAGCATACAACCAATCACAAGAACAGTTCTCAGAGTGAGGCTGACAATCACACCAGAGTTTAAATGGGATGATAAGGTATTGCGATTTAAATTATCTTGACATTTTGTAGTTCATTGATCAATGTTGACTTATCCAGTTAAGGTCAGTTTCTTAATTATTTTAAGATTTTTAAAAAGGTCAATTACAATGTTGATGAATGTATGTGACACTTATAGCAAGACCTTTAACATAAAATTAATCAGCATGTCTACTATTGCTAATTAAACAAATTTCCTTCGTTTAAAAAACAAAATAATTTGTTTAAAAATATATATGCTGCTTTTCATATAGAATGTATGTCCCATTAGGATATTAATTTTAGAGGTCACTTGTCACACATGTTACATATTTACAGGTTCATGGTACCAGTTCAGAACCATTTTGGATTTGGGTTGAGGACCCAGACAATAACCACATTTACCATTCCGAATATTTCCTGTTAAACAAGAAACAGGTATGTTATATATATTTGATTGAGGCGGCGAATCCAAATAAAAGCCACTTTCCGAATACTTTAAGTTAAACCAGAAATAAATGTATCATATTTGATTGGGGAGGTGGATCCAGACAGCAACCACATATTATATTCTGAATACTTCCTGTTTGACAAAAAACAAACATGTATGCAGGGTCAATACAAAAAGCACACAGTCTGCTGAAAAAATAAAATAAAAAAGATCAATTGAATGGTCTAATACAACAAAATATGACATTTTAATGTTACAAGAAACACTCTTCAATGTATTCATCTTCTAAATTGCAGATGCAAACAGGAGATGCTAAGAATTTAAGTTTACCATATTGTCTGTACAAACATGAGCAGTGTAGAATTTAGTATCTTCTAATGACAGGTGCAACATGTGGAGCTGGATCTGCCTTCCCTTCTGGAGCACCTGAGATCACCCCCGATTTTTAGCGAAGTTCATGTTGCTCAGTCTTTAGTTTTCGATGTTTTGTTTTGTATACTGTTGTTTGTCTTTTGGTCTTTTTCTTTTTAGCCATGACGTTGTCAGTTTATTTTCGACTTATGAGTTTGAATGTCCCTTTGGTATTTTTCGCCACTCTTTTTCTATATTGCAGGTACAAAAAAGAGACATGTAAAATCTTAATTTTCAATATTATAGGTACATACAGGAGAAGTTCAGAACTTAGTATTTACCATACCTATATTTGAACCACTGCCTACGCAATACTATGTCAAGGCCATATCAGACAGATGGTTGGGGTCACAGTTCATGTGTCCTATATCATTCCAGCATTTAATACTACCAGAGAGACACCCTCCTCATACAGGTATCATATTGTAACTTAAACAGTTTTAAGGTCAAGCAGACAGCCACCAGACCAGGTTAAAAAATGAAAACAACACATTATAAATTTCATACGTCCGAAGCGCTTTTCTGGATTTACCTTCATCAGGAACGCTCAAAGTCAAATATTTGAAAGTCAAGGATGTATAAGAACAATGCTCACCCTATACATGAATGTGATTTATATTTTCTTGAAGGTTCAATTAAAGCAATGCAGTTGGTATGTCAATTAAAGGGTTCAGTCATGATAAAGGGAACAAAGCATTACATTTCTATCAACCTGGCTACTTGTCAAAATGTAAAAATCAAGGCTTGACATATGCATAAGATATAAATGAAAAGTTAAAGGAAGAAATCACTTTTTTTCAGTAGATAAATTTAGCACTATATTTCAATGGCTAACCAAATAATATTTCTCTTACTCATGTTGTTGTTTACATTTGATTCCAGAATTATTGGATCTACAACCACTACCTATATCAGCATTAAATGACCCAATGTTGGAGACATTGTATAAGTTTACCCACTTTAACCCCATACAGACACAGATCTTCCACTGTTTATACCATACAGATAAAAATGTCCTATTAGGAGCACCAACAGGATCAGGCAAAACTATTGCTGCTGAGATGGCTATATTTAGAGTGTTTAGGGAATACCCAAATCACAAGGTAGGAATGGGATCTCACATGGTATACCTTAATTACAATATACATAAACTTATTGCTGCTGAGATGGCTATATTTAGAGTGTTTAGGGAATACCCAAATCACAAGGTAGGAATGGGATCTCACATGGTATACCTTAATTACAATATACATAAACTTATTGCTGCTGAGATGGCTATATTTAGAGTGTCTAGGGAATACCCAAATCACAAGGTAAGAATGGGATCTCACATGGTATACCTTAATTACAATATACACTTATTGCTGCTGAGATGGCTATATTTAGAGTGTTTAGGGAATACCCAAATCACAAGGTAGGAATGGAATATCCAATGATATACCTTAATTAACAAAAGGGAAAGGTTAAGCTTAAAGGTGAAAACATGAAAAGATACATATTTGTATTATTAGGTTACTGTATCATTTGGATATACCCAACATCTGGTTTTAATCAGAGTTAAAGATGTTAACAGTATTTTAAGGAACACCTGAAGGGAAAAGGTTTTTGAAATGATTTCTTTAGGCTTGTTGGGAAATACCTAAATTACCAGGAAGTAAGTACAGGAATCCTTTGATGAGATGATTGCAATGTTTATATGTACTGGTTGTAATTAGAATGAATTATTGCTACAATAGAGTGATATATGTAGATGAACATCACTCCTTTGATATTTATGATATTTTGTTATTTGATGAGATTTTTGGTCTCATGTAAATCCATTCCATACAATTTCCATTTATATCTATCATGTCTATACATGTTAATATTATTTATATCAATGACAAACTGCTTTTGATGTGTTTAAAGAATTCTTTTAGTAAAGGATTTTACAAATAAGATAATTTTCATACTGTTCTTTATTTTCTCACTCAGGCTGTCTACATAGCACCATTAAAAGCTCTGGTCAGGGAAAGAATGGAAGATTGGAAAGTCAGAATAGAAAAGAAGCTTGGTAAAAAGTAAGTAGTATAAAATTATAATCAAATATGCACTAACAGTTGTTAGATATATGTCCTTTAATTTGAATTGAAATAAACAATGGCAGGTTTCTTCTTCAAGTGGTCATCAAGTTAAGAAAAAAAGCCTTATAAGAAGATGTGGTGTGATTGCCAATGAGACAACTCTCCACCAGAGACCCAATGACATAGAGGTTAATAACTACAGGTCATTGTATGGCCTTCAACAAAGAGTGAAACCCATACCATATAGTAAGCTATAAAAGGCCCCGACATGACAAATGGAAAATATGATTCAAAGAGAAAACTAACAGCCTGATTTATGTACAAAACTATAAACGAAAAACAAATATGATATACAGCAACAAATGACAATCACTGAATTACAGGCTTCTGACTTGGAAATGCACATACAGAATGTGGTGGGGTTAAACATATTTGAAGGCACCAATAGTTAGGTTGATAGTGTATTTGATCAAAGGATTGTTACCCTCTTTTGCCTGAAGCTTTTGGAAGCCTTATTTGAAGGAAAGAATTGATGGTTTTATGATTCATAGCATACACAATCTCAAATACGAATTGGGACACATCATTAAGCCCTGAAAAGAGGAATTTTGTTGTGATGTGGTGTTACGTTACATAAGAAATAAGGGCTATCAATGTAACAACCCCTGAATTGTGGGTATTGTAAATCAGGGCTGGATTATATATTTGAAGGTTGTAGAATTGATAGGGTGGTATCAGGGCTATGGCTATAGTAATCTATTAGATGTGAGATTATGTAATTAATAAATGTGTTTTATATTTTAGGGTTGTAGAGTTGACTGGGGATGTAACACCAGATATGAGAGCTATTGCAGGAGCTGACCTCATCGTGACAACACCAGAGAAATGGGACGGAGTAAGTCGTAGCTGGCAAACCAGGAACTATGTCAAGGCTGTGGCTGTTTTGATTATTGATGAAATTCATTTGTTAGGTTAGTTTTATTTTATAGTCCATTATCTATATTGCCAGAGAGTAGAAAAGGTCTAGTAACCTCTTGCCCAATAATTCTCTCCGTCTAAAATATACAGAGGCTATCTAGTGTGTGTCAGCTTTAAATCCAACGATTTTTTTTTACATAATTCTGACTTTGCACACAGATTAATGATGTACTTTTCCTTTTTGGGAAATAAATAAGTAAAACTGCATTTGTGACCATCATGCCCCAAATGTCAATAGCAACTCTTAAACTACAGTACTGTTATTCCTTAAATCCTTTTCAATTCAAAAAACAAATTTCAATGTTTCAATCTTTTCAGGAAATGACAGAGGTCCAGTTTTAGAAGTCATTGTGTCAAGAACCAATTTTATATCATCCCATACATCTAAGCCTGTGAGAGTGGTAGGACTATCTACAGCTTTGGCTAATGCTAGAGATCTTGCTGACTGGCTGGCTATATCACAGGTATGTGAGAGTGGTAGGACTATCTACAGCTTTGGCTAATGCTAGAGATCTAGCTGACTGGCTGGCTATATCACAGGTAAGTCAAAGTTTTAGGTGTGTCTACAGCTATGGCTAATGCTAGAGATCTTGCTGACTGGCTAGCTATATCACAGGTAGGTCAAAGTTTTAGGTTTGTCTACAGCTTTGGCTAATGCTAGAGATCTTGCTGACTGGCTGGCTATATCACAGGTAGGTCAAAGATTTAGGTTTGTCTACAGCTATGGCTAATGCTAGAGATCTTGCTGACTGGCTAGCTATATCACAGGTAGGTCAAAGTTTTAGGTTTGTCTACAGCTATGGCTAATGCTAGAGATCTTGCTGACTGGCTAGCTATATCACAGGTAGGTCAAAGATTTAGGTTTATGCTAGAGATTAGGCTGTAGCACAGCTATTTTAGGGTGGTAGGATTGTTACAGTGTAATGAACATGCACAGTGCTTTGTACACAAAAATACCAAGGTAGTAATTGTTAGAAATGAACAGAATTATAAAGAAGGATGACTGAAATCAACACGTTATAAGGTTTACAGTCTAAATCAGGAATTGTTAGACAGATATGCTGTGTCTAAGTCTCAACTCCCAAATGAGTTTCCCCGAGTAGAAAAATAACACGAATATAAATTGTTGCGAATATGTAAAACTTGGATCTTTCCTTATTTAACTACATCAAGTAAATTAGAAAATTGCGAAATTTAATCCTCGCCAAGTGGGCTTGAAAGGGCTAAACGCGAAATAAAGTATCCGCGAAATAAGTTGGTTTACAGTAGTCTTAGATCTTTAGATATCAGAATAGTCACACAGTCTTTAATTTTATTGATTGTGTCATATTTCTGGTTGTGACATTTGACTGAGCATTCTTAACAGGGGATGCTTACCCTGTGGACACATCTGGTCTCACTCCTTTTGAAGTCAATGCTATTCCCTCAATATTTTAATTTATCTTCTTAATTGATTTCTAAAATTTGAAGAGAGGTAAACTACTATATCCTTGATCTAAGGACTTAGTGGAATAGTTGACTAAAAGGCCCAAACTTAAGTTATACTTACTAATGTGTGATTTGATGATTTATTTGCTTGTTTTTATTGTCTCCCCTTCTCAATTAAATACCAGTAAATAAGTATTAATGCAGTTCTAGTGCAACTCATCTGCATTCTGTTGTATTTTCATTTCTAAAAGTACATGTGTTCTATGGTTACTATTTTTGTATGCTGTTACAAAAACCTTCAAATGTATTAGTATTGAGATAGTAATACTGTCCCAATGTTTAACTACACATTAAAGACTTCTTCATGTGTTACAGATTAAACATTGGACTATTTTCCATAAAAACAGAACAAGTTATAAACGATTACTACCTTGGTATTTTGCATGATTTTGATGTTTGGAATATATTTTTTTACTGTGTTTTTCTCTTTTAATTTTTACAGATGGGACTATACAACTTCCGACCATCTGTTAGACCAGTCCCATTAGAGGTACACATACATGGGTTCCCAGGACAACACTATTGTCCAAGGATGGCTACCATGAATAAACCAACATTCCAAGGTAGGTCCATTTAAAGTTAGATTACCAAAGTATAGCTTGTCATTTGTTATAAGGGAATAAAGGAGATGTCTTGTATACATCAATGAGACTGCAAGATCACAGTACAAAAACAAAAATGAACTTTTATGGAGCCTGTAATTCAGTGGTTGTCGTTTGTTTATGTGTTACATATTTGTTTTTCGTTAATTTTTTGTACATAAATTAGGCTGTTGGTTTTCTCGTTTGAATTGTTTTACATTGTCATTGTGGGGCCTTTTATAGCTGACTGTGCGGTATGGGCTTTGCTCATTGTTGAAGGCTGTACGGTGACCTTTAGTTGTTAATTTCTGTGTCATTTGGTCTCTTGTGGAGAGTTGTCTCATTGGCAATCATACCACATCTTCTTTTTTATATTTTACAGCTAATGCATGGAGATCACATGACCAGTATTTATAACTATAGGATTCATTAATACTTGATATTTAATTTTCCAGCTGTAAAGACTCACTCTCCAGATAAGCCAGTGTTAGTGTTTGTATCGTCACGACGACAGACCAGATTGTCAGCATTGGACCTAATAGCCTTCCTTGCTGCTGAAGAGAATCCAAAACAATGGCTACACATGGAGGAGATGGAGGTTTGATTTTGATTTTATTTCATTGTGTTCAGGTTCATTGTTTAAACCCCAAAAAATGAAAAATGATGTTACATCATTGGTAAGATGTACATTGTTATGAACTTTATTAACCAATCACAATGCTTTCTTGTACACTTTTGAAAATAATATTACCCAAAATGCATTTGATTTTGAAATGGCTTATTAATGTAGGAATCAGTTTTAGAGATATTTCAGCATTTATTTTGATACAGGTTTGAAGAGATGAGTTTAACTTGGTTTTTTGTTGCAAAGGTTGCACGAGTCATTTGATTTCAAGATCTTTCTTATTTGAAAGTTTGTGACAACAGACAAATTCTTTTGTGACAGAACTAACAGCCTGATGAATTAAATGTTTCAGTGGACTTTTTTATATGATTTTATGCATATCAAAGTAGTTATAAACAATTACTATGTTGTGTACTCAAGTTTAGCTGCATAAGAAATGGTATTTAAAGACAAAAAATCATATTGTGTAGGTCATATAGAATAATGGCATTTTTGTTTTTGATACTGACTTTATCAGCAAGAATATCAAGCGAGCCCGAAATGCCATTATTCTTCTTATCTGTAATTTTGTCTCAATGATATGTTTTTTGGTTGAGATCATAAAATGAAATATCTAGAAAAACTATTTTTTACGTGTACAAACTTTGTGATAATCATCCGGTTGAATGAATGAAGTTGTGTGCATTTCATTGATAAATTGACGCCGATGGACTTGAACATTTGATGTTGCTGCACTGTTACGTGAGGTCATTTCGAGTATCAGGTCCTGTCCATGATATAGAACAAATATTAAGCAGAAGGATCAAAGGCAAAATGTAAAAATTGCTTAAAATTTATATTTATCACAAAAAGTCATTATGCCTGTTGACAATACAGGCTTGCTAGGTTCGTTATTGCCAAAATATATTAATGCGCTGAAAATAGAAGATTTCAAATTTTTTTATCAATTTGTCTTTAATGAATACCTGTAGAGAATTTGTGCCAGACATTTTACAGAATGTTTTATTTGTAAAGAAAGAGATGGAGAAGTAAATTTAAACTGATGATTCATATTAAATGGAAAATCCTTGCATTTAATGAGCAAATATGTTCATGAACCATGCAAATTGTTTTGACATTTTTTCTTTGGATTCTATAATATTCCCTGAATAAATTGAAACATGTTCACGAACACTTTTTGACCTTATAAAATGTGAATAGAACAAAAAATCTTAAAATATCTTCCAAAAAATATCTATATATTTATTTTTGTTGTTGTAATTATTTGTGGGAAAGTCCATAATAAGTCTTTCTATTTATAGTCTTGATCATTATTTGAAGAATTAAATTGATATTTATTGATACTGATGAGCAAATTGTTTACTGAAATGGAGTGTACAGATTAGATGTAGATAGTTAATTGGTTGTGATATGATTAAATTACTCAGAATGAGAGAAAAGACTACATAAGTAGATACTTACAGATAGATTATTAAGTTACTGTCTGTCACTGATAAATTAAATTCTAGCAAGGAGTGTTTACAGCTGAGAAGACAATGTAGATCAGTGTATTTAACTCAGAATTTATACAATGCTATTAATTGACGTTTGACAATTAGATACATGTGCATGTGGTTAATAATGGTTTGGTAGAATTTATATTTAGAAATGAAATTAACACATAACAAAAAATTGGATTTCACCCATTAATGTGGAAGAAGTTAAATATAGTTATAATCCTTGGTTCTAACTTAGTCTGCAGTTGACAAAACTTATTACAATACTCTATTTAAGTGATATGGCTTTTTTTACATTCATCTTGTCCATTTATTTGACTGCTCATCCAACAAATATATGGAGTCATTGACATTTTATTTAACCTGAAATCTACATTTCAGCAATTACATACCTTATATACCCAAAATTTACACAAGTCATTAACACATTAGCTTACCTGATTTATGTATGAGCAGTTGACATACCTTATTTCACCAGAAATCCATCAAATCACTGACACAATATATTACTTGAGATCAGCTTGAGCAGTGACAAGCCTTACTTCACATGAGGTCAAAATAAGTCATTGAACATTATATTACTTGAGAACTGCCTGAGCAGTTGGCATACTTTGTTTCACCTGAATTCAAACCAAGTCATTGACACATTATATTACTTGATATCTGCCTGAGCAGGTGACATACTTTGTTTCACCTGAGATCAAACCAAGCCATTGACACATTATATTACTTGATATCTACCTGAGCAGTTGACATACTTTGTTTCACCTGAGATCAAACAAAGTCATTGACACATTATATTACTTGAGATCTGCCTGAGAAGGTGACATACGTTGTTTCACCTGAGATCAAACCAAGTCATTGACACATTATATTACTTGAGATCTACCTGAGCAGGTGACATACCTTATTTATTACCACAAGTGTACATGAGTCATTGACACATTATATTGCTCAAAGCAAGTTTAACCAAACCACATGTTTGTGTGCCTGATTGAAGTTTTCATTGTCTTCTTCATTATTTATGTTATCAAACCCTTGTTTTACAGGTGGGATCTAAATATGATCTGTATATATGTGTTGTTGGCAGCTGTCCAATTGATTTCCCCCCCACGATTTCATTTATCCAAATACATTATGAGGAGTGCTTTGCAGTGTTCAAAAGAACAAATGAAGGAAACGTCATCAACAGGCTGGGTTTTGTTCTGTTATTTTTCTTCAAATCCCACTTGCATTGAAAACCAATATTATATTATAAATGAGACCGTAATCTGAATAAAACTGGAATCATAAAACATTATATTAATGAGAAAAAGCACAAAATATTGGTGAGAAATAATGTAATTTTGTAAATGGCAATACCTAGTGTAGCATAAGTGGATGGATTAGTTTATGATGTGTTCTTCATAGAGATGATTGAGGTTCTTGGGTTACATATTGTCATTTCATTATTTTTATGGATCAGGGATATAATGTAATGAGGATCTTGGGAGTTTTATTTTGATTATATTTGGACGTTTGGTATTATGCTTGATCAGCAGAAAGTGTAATTTATGATTAATGGGCTTTCAGAACCCAGTGGTAAATACTACAACTTATTATTTAGAGTGTTGAAATGTCAGGTGTATGGAGAAGCATTGTACTTTCAGTTTTGTTCTTTACATGTTTGATGTAGAACATAATTGCTATTGTTTAGTCAGGCAAATTTATATATTTGACAAGTTAAAGATCAGATAAATTTGTGTGGGAAAGCCTTTTTAGAAGTTGTGTCTTTTTAAGGGCATACGTAACAGTTTTGATCCCACTGGTTTTATTATGAAAATTTGCATACAAGCTATTTTTCACCTAGTCAATGCAAATATGTAATAAAAAATTTACCTTTATGTGCTACTTTAAGAGATACATGGGGTCGAAATTTTAGACATTTACTCAAAATGTCGTTTTTTGGAACATTTCTATCCTTTGTATAGACATACCTAACTTTTTTGTTTCAAAAGATAAACACAATGGGATTTCTGTAAAAACATTTGGAAAATCTCTTTTACATAAGTATGCTCTAATTTTTTATAACAATTCTTTGGAAATAACTAATTTTTATCAAAGTTTCAGGATTTTAGGAAAAAAACGGAATTTTTTGCTGTATACTTATCTAATTTAAAAAAATTTCATCGGTGACTTTTTCATAAAAATTGGTACAAATTATCTTCATATGTAATCAATCCTAATCTCATTTTAAGAAAGAGGGGTCCATGAACTCGTTTTCAAGTTATATCAGTCTGAATGATAGAAATATGTTGAAAAATGCATCTTTTTGCGATAAGTCGCAGTTTGACGTCGCCAAAAATAACATTTTACGTTGGCATCGCATTACCTCCCCTGTAACAGTATCATATGCCCTTAAAGGTCTTTGAATAGAAAATATATAATATTCACTGAAGCACTTGCATTGGTTTTAACAAATCTGATGATTTCCATCATAAAGTCTTTGTAATACTATGAGCCATATTATTTATTGAATGTTCATTTCACAAGCGTTTTAAGAGTTGTTTTCCCTTAACTATTTTTTCCCTATTGCTTAAAATGGTCCAACCTTTATGATATATTCAAATATAAATCTTGGAATTGATATTTGTATTAAAACATGTTCCAAAAAGAGACAAATTATTTGTAATATCATGGAAATGGACATAACTAATTTGTAAAATCATGGAAAGGGAGGCAACTCATTTGTAAGATCAGGGAAAGGGAGGTAAATCATTTGTAATATCATGGAAAGGGAAGTAACTCATTTGTAATATCATGGAAAGAGCGCTAACTCATTTGTAAAATCAGAGTAAGGATGTAACTTTTAAAGAAACAATTAAAAACAACAAATAGTATCTTACTGATGTTATTTTTGATAATATTATTAGATTTAATCTCTTATTATTATAGTATTCTATAATGTTTTACTGGATTATAATTAAACAGTATGCTGTGTTACTCTGATTTATTGCTCACTAAAGCCATTATTTAGACAGTATGCTGTCTTACTCCCGATTTAATCCTCACAAAAGTCATTATTTAGACATTGCCCTTACATGTTATATCGTGCAATCATGAAGAGCTATTATTCAGACAATGTTTTAAAACGTTTCAGATTGTGTGATCACCATAACCATATATAAAGACAAACTGTAATGAAACTGTCAGTCAGATAAAACAGGCAGAAAACCTTGATTACATAGAATAAATTAAGCATGAGAGACGATAGCATGCAAGAAAGAAATTCAATCATTAAAATTAATGCCAGCAAATTTGATTTCTTTAGTAAAGTTAGATCTTGGTAGGCTACTCTTGTTTATGCTTAGATATCTGTATACTTTGTCATATCAGCTGGGTTTGTACAGAAAATAAACCAAAATAATTTGATTCTTCATGAATTGATTATCTGACAAAATTACATTTCTGCTATAATCAAGTTTGCTTAAGTTAGTT